GATGAACTGTTAAACAGGACGTTTGATGAATGCATATTGTCCGTTGCGAAGAATTATTTCACGGCGCTTGCCTTTATTTCGTTTCTCCCGCAAGAGAGTTTGGTAGAAATGGCATCCGGCGGTTTTGGCGTTTCTTTACAACTGAATTCATATTTTAACTAAGGTTTGTCCTCTGCTTAGTGGACAGTGTTCATGCTCCTTGGCCGTCCGTACTTGTTACAAACAGCTTACCTCAAGTAGACCAAAGCCTTTAGTTTGACTGAAGAAATGCAGGTCCGTATGGGCTTACCGAATTCGATCAGCGGGTCCGCTGAGTGATCGCCCACTGACTTCCGTTCAATCAATGATTCTCTTCCGACCAAACGTTTATTTTCAACTGCCTATGAATCAATCAGTGAGTGAGCCATATACTAAGAATCCATTCAAACACAGCATGCCCTCTGCATTTTCGCTGGACTTTTGATTAATATTTGTAGGTCGCGTCATGTCAACGCATCTGTAAGCTACCTGCTTTTACCAGTTCCAAAAGGTTCGCTATTATGCGCATCGAAACGACGCTATATGACGGCTGCTTTAAATTGGTTTCAGGTCAGCTGGACAGCTGGAACAGTATATATGGGGCAGATTGCGTGCAGTCCGCTCTACGTCTCAAATTCTGCGCTCACTGCTCTCAGCGCAGTGCGCAACCCATTGGGCCGGGCCCATTTTCGCCTCTCCTACCATAGCAGTGAAGCTTGTCCCAAAAACGCAACCAAGTGTATCGTTGTAACTTGCTTCCTCGAATATGCGCAGTGTGGATGTCGTGTTAAAGTTAGTAGTTAAAGAGCTTTTTCTTTGTTATTCTACAAACAGTGTGCTGGAATGCATTCAGAGGCACTGATTTGTATATATATACTTTTTGTTAAGTGCACCCACCATCTCGCAGCTTGGTTCTGCCATACTGCTCACTTACAGCTATATGAATGACAGCTTGCTCAAGGACATGACATCGCTAGGGCCCTTGTGTCAACGCACTTCGTGAACCCTTTACTTGACTGTATCTCAACTACCAATTGATCAAGATGCTGGATCACTGGGCTATAACCTCTCCACTAAGGCACCAGGCATTTTTCTAGTAAGGAAAACAGTGTGACTGATGCCCGTATACGCGGATTCCGCGCGTATAGATGGAACCACACAGGACAAAAATGCAGGCATCCATTGTTGTATTATCGGCGTGCTTGGAGAATTACGAATTTCGCCCGCAAAATATTCTCGTGTGCTAAAAAACATGAAGCGCATATCTGGTCAGTGTTGAGTATGAAGACATGTACTTTATTCTTCGACGTGAACAAAACAAACCAAGGTTATCAAGCTAGCATAGAGGCTCACTGCCGACGTCAAAATAAACTCTATTTACAATATCAAGGGTTCGCAAGTTTACATTTGGCATATATCAAGAAGTCTGCTTTAGCTCCACCAGTTGGGTGTGTTGTTCTCGTTTACCACAGGGATGTGCTGACTGCCTCAGCGAATACCCCCGTTTTACGTGTGCTTTTACCCATCAGGATATATGGACATGAAAGGGCATGGTGTCCATGCACACATGGACACGCCTCAAACAAACCTTTTCCAAGGGCTCGGCAACCAGTAGATACAATTTGCCCCTCACAGAGTCTCCCCACCGCTCCACGGATTCACTGTGGTAAGTCCAGCGGTCGGTCGTATAACTATTATTCCCTGTCATAATCTCAAGCCGTTTCAATAATATTACCAAAGCCCGTAAGTCTGTCCATCTGCACATTTTCAACTTTTGCTGCCAAAAAGCTATTTCGGTTCTGTACAGATTACAAAATGCTTTATACATGAATGGTGTTCAAAGAACTCTACAAAACACGGAAATACAGGAGCTTTCATCTTGCGATCTGTTGACCACGCTGGGTTCGCTCCATAGATGCACTTTGCGTGTAAATGTTGTGTCGTTCGTGAGCAACGACATCTCCATTATGACACCACATGTATTATTATCGAGTATGAAATGAGTGTTACGTTTATAACGATCCGGAATGGTTGGAATACGAGCCGAGCGGGGCTTCGAAGTTGTTTGATTCCTCCCAGGAATCCTCAGGAGTTTTAAGCTCTCTGCAGAGTTATGGGCTCAATTTCTTCATTTAGGGTTTCTGTTAACCAGCAAATCTTTGCGCCTAAAAAACGACCCACCGAACGGCATTAGTGAACGCTGCATCCTCCTTCCATCTTACCATACCTAATAGATAGTATACTTTATTTTGGGCTACAACCGTTCGATTATCTGAAAATTGCCTTCGCCAACACACTATTTCGAATCCGTCCTCTGAAAATTGAGGCGCTGAAAGACGATGATGACTTCTTTGTTTTTCGGGAAACACTTTTGCTAAGCATGAAAGTAGCCAACTAGGGCTCGTACTTGGTCCAAGCTTGTTGTTCGCCTCTGAGCACACCTCAAGTAAGGATTATTTCCCCGTTCTTCATATAGAAAACTGACTAGTTGACTTGTGGTTCACTCGATGAATACAGCTGGAGCAGTCATGGAGAATTTCCGCTCACTTACTTTCGCAGCGTACGTATGCCAATTTGTTACAGATGATTCAACGTATGCTGTCTTTCTCTTGGCACAAATTCTGCCTGTTATTTCAACGTTTTAAACGCTATGACTGGTCGCTTCACGCACTGTGCTAGCATTTTATCATGGTTGTTAGTTTTACATGCAGCCAATTTAAGCTATAGCTTCTTGCCTATTCCCGAATAGTTGGTGCATGTTTGGTATGATCGTTGGCCCCGATTCAGTGCGGTGCCAGGTGCTTAATTGGTGAGGGCAATAGCTTCTTTTTCACAAATTGCAGTTCTGCGCATTAGTTCAAGGCACGGAAAAGTTCTATTCTTGGCCTTCTTGCAAAACACTGCTGATACTTCAAATGCTGACCTGAAACAAAAACTTTGGAAGAAGTCATATCCAGTTTTCTGTGGCCTCTGGCACAAGCTTTAATACTGCCCCTGACAGTAGAAGGTCGCGTCCAGGAGCATCAAGGTCGTGTTTTCGTTATACATAACTACCAGCGGCTTCAATAAGCACCGGTTGGTCGCATCATTTCCGATTTCTACCACTGTCGCCAAAACAGAACTTTATCTGATTGCCGTCCTCGTGGAGGCCTGGTGGTCAAAACTACATGGAGCACCTATCTAACATGTTAACTTTTCTACACGCCACGAAGTCTTCTCCGAAATCCGCCGTGTCAGATATTTTCTATGAACACTCATAGGCCTCGCGTGGCGGTCGCCTACTTCTCAACTCTGAAACGCGTGATCGCTCTTACTTGCCATGCAACCACCTTGCGGCTGGCAACCTGAATTTGAACCTGTTGTACTGGTGATACTGCTGATGGGGAGGCATGAGAGCAGTATGTTTTCTCCTTGTAAATTTGCTTTGCGTCTCTTGAAATTTGTGGAGTCGCTTTGTAGCGTTTGCTTGGATTTGAGCAGCAGTCGATCAATATCCAGGAAAGCTCAAGAAGACACGATCAATAAAAGATAGATGCTCAGTTTTTGTAAACAACATGCACAGGAGAATTTGCTTCCCTGTCCAATAGTCTGTGGCTGGTCAGTTGGCATTTTCCAATAAATAACTCCGCAGCAAAAGCCATTATTTCGGACACACTACCACTGAACAATGCGCCAAGGCTACCGAAGAGTATAAGAAGGTACCCAAATGGCCGTCTATGTATTGTGCGTCCCATCGCCAAACGTTGTTATTTCTTGTGCGCGCCCAAGATTCTTTAGATGCCGGGTAGCCCAGAAGTTTTTGTGGAGTATTCGATCACAACACAGGGTTCCAGCTATCGACCGGTATCCAGAGGATAAAAATGATTTTCAGAAACTATGATGTTTTTCAAATTCTCCACGTTTATGCGTAACTGTCTACACTTGTAGGTTTCCCGATAATACCGAGTGCAGATAACACGTTAAAGTGAGCAATCATTCAAGGCGAACGTGGTCCTTAAATTGGTAGTATAAAATTCCAGGCTAAGAAGAGTATGATGAACCTCAAATAGATATGAGTTGTAGGTGTTTTTGTATCCATGACAATCTGTGGAATTTCTAAGAGACCAGAATAAAATCGCTTGCCGGATATCTGCCGTGGAATCGTTTCTTCAAACCAAATTGCGCCTGTCTTTTTCGGTCCGCGAAGAGGGCTTCAAATACATGAGATTTTGAACCTCTGAGAAATCTATTTATGTTAATCAGCATGACCATCAGCTGATACATTCATAATTAATGGAAACCCTGTCAGTCATTCAACTGAGATAAAAGACCTTGGTATCAAACACTTTGCACCTTTAGTTTTTTCATCAAGTCCAGATCCAGGTTGCCCGAGCACGAAAACTCCGCTTCCTGATAATACGCCCCTTCACACTTCGAGACTGAGACTACTTGTGAGGCTCACAGATAACGTCGACGTGCAAGGCGTTGCCACTTTCGTCTTGTTGGGGTCACACCACCCCTAGTCCACTTCATCATCCAAACATAGCACACATGTTCTTCCCCCTTGGTATCTAGGGCGATCATATGCAAAAAATGCTTATAACATGATTTCCTGATTACAAGCAGTCACAGCTAGCACTTAATGACTGTTTTTTGCCACGCACCATTCGTTCTCTGGAGTTTACAGCACCGACTCGGCGACTGGTGATCCTTAATCTTACTTTCCTAAAACTAGGCACCTACTCTGGCCCAACTAGTACTTGGCTTCTAGATCAGCAAAACGTATTCCCTTTCTTGGGTCCATTTACCTTGCTGTCATCCCTTTTTCGGTTTGTTTCTATCGATGCCGTTGTATCTCAGGCCTCCTAACACCCACCACGCGCTACTGTTTTCATTCTTTCTCGTCGACCCTCTTCCAAAGCTTCAACCCTTGAATGCAGTTGCCCGAACGCCCTTTAGAACACTTATTCATTTAAACTGCCTGGTGCCCGGTCTACACTTACACGGTCCTCCAACAAAAGGGAAACTATCCGTGAGCCTACATCTGCAGGATTCCCTGTGGCAATCTCTGTCTCACACAATACCAGCTGCCAAGGAACGGCGCATCCCTTCTCCGAGCCACGACGACCGTTACGGGGCTGTCCACAAACCGAAGCATGTTAGTGCAATGATGGCATGGCACTGCCGCGCCCAGTGAGATGGCACTCCCGCAACTATTTTCTTCAGAATCTCGACCGCTTACTCAAGCATGTAGCCACAACTTCGAGCAGCTCTCATCCGGCCGCGTCTCTGGGATGAGCTCTTCCGTACCCAATAAAGTTCCGCTCAGATTTGGCTAGCCTGGCTTTTCTGCTGCAATTTCAGTTTGCCTGTTGCACAAGTTCAAATCCGTAGACGGAGTTTAGGTCGCCCTATGTATTAGCAACTTGCCCCCATCCAGCCCATTCCCCTGCATCTGACTTCCCTACGACAGTGCAACCAGTGAGTCTGCTTACTTTCAGATTAAACCACATTTATGAGACAAAACTTGCCATGTGCTCCCAATTTGAATTAACCCATCTCCATCTCCACTTTTGCTTGCTGTGACGTGGGCCATTTACCTAACCAAGGTCACTCATGGCAAGCAATTTTTTTCAGTTTTAGTTCATGCCACCTGACTGTCTTCGAACTAGTCGGACCTCATGCCAAATTGTTTCCACAAGTTGGGAAACAACCTATTATTACTATATCGTCGTGTGTTCCCTACTGTTTGACATTGTCCTCTTTTCGTGCAGTCCGCACCCCCACAAATCCCCCAGTCGTGCTCCATTCTGCCTGTAAAACTATGATCATGACAGACGGTATGCCACCCACAGGTTGGGAATAAACCTTTACTACTATCATTATAAAGTTTGCAGTTTTCAAGCTGTGCGCGCAACCAGATTGTGTGATTCTGCCTTGAACTAATAAGGGATGACATCAAGCTAAATGGACCCAAGAAAGGTGAATACGTTTGCTGATCTAGAAGCCAAGTACTAGTTGGGCCAGAGTAGGTGCCTAGTTTTAGGAAAGTAAGATTAAGGATCACCAGTCGCCGAGTCGGTGCTGTAAACTCCAGAGAACGAATGGTGCGTGGCAAAAAACAGTCATTAAGTGCTAGCTGTGACTGCTTGTAATCAGGAAATCATGTTATAAGCATTTTTTGCATATGATCGCCCTAGATACCAAGAGGGAAGAACATGTGTGCTATGTTTGGATGATGAAGTGGACTAGGGGTGGTGTGACCCCAACAAGACGAAAGTGGCAACGCCTTGCACGTCAACGTTATCTGTGAGCCTCACAAGTAGTCTCAGTCTCGAAGTGTGAAGGGGCGTATTATCAGGAAGCGGAGTTTTCGTGCTCGGGCAACCTGGATCTGGACTTGATGAAAAAACTAAAGGTGCAAAGTGTTTGATACCAAGGTCTTTTATCTCAGTTGAATGACTGACAGGGTTTCCATTAATTATGAATGTATCAGCTGATGGTCATGCTGATTAACATTTCATCCGTGCTACTAGAGGGGCGGCCAGTATACGAACGCGTCACGGCGCAACGTAAAACGGCGACCCTCCCTGTAGGGCGTCCCCGTCCACCACACGAGGTTTTTTCGCTCGTGCATGCTACCAGATCTGCAAGGTGGAAAACCATCCAA